GAGACCAGCCTGGCCAACACGGTAAAACCCCATCTCTACTAAAAATACAAAAATTAGCTGGGCATGGTGGCAGGTGCCTGTAGTCCCAGCTACTCAGAGGGCTGAGGCAGGAGAATCACTTGAACCTGGGAGACGTAGGTTGCAGGGAGCCAAGATCACTGCCACTACACTCCAGCCTGGGCGACAGAGTGAGACTGTCTCAAAAAAAAAAACCCAGTAGCTTAAGGACGCATAACCAGTAAATATGGACTTGAGGACCAAGCCCAGGCCCTGTGGCCTTTAATACCCACTTTTCTGCTGAACCCACACTGTGGAGCTCCACAGCGCCTCTGATGGAATCAGCCTTGGAACCGGACAGCCTTGGTCCTCCATCCTAGCTGCACTGCTCCACCCTCCTGTGTCTGACCTTGAACAACCTTCAGGGAACAGCTTGGCTAATCTCGACATGCGGGGAGATGGGCCGCACCCCGGAGCCTGGCTCTCCCCTCTGCTTCCCACTTTCCCATTGACTTCCCGTTGCCTGCTTTCCTCACCAGTGTACAGTGAGCTCCTCCCTGGGGCGTGTGTCGACTCTGGACTTCCTGCCACACTCCTCTGGAGCCATCTCCTTCTCTCCTGGCCTCAGCCACCATCCACAGTAACTTTCACCTCCTAGGGTTGGGTGTTTACTAGGAGTCAGGTGCTGTGTGATTTTACAGGCTCTCATTTAATCCTTTACAACCCTCTGAGGTAGGTCCTATTATTATCCCTCACTTTACAGATAAGTAAACTAAGGTTCGGGAGTGAGGTCATGCACCCAAGGTCACGCAGCCAGTCACGTGAAAGCCGGTGTAAAAGAGCTGGATCCGCCTGGCCTCAAAGGCTAAACGAACACCAGATCTCCACCACTTTGAATGCCCAAGACCTTCACGTCTAAATCTGCAGACTGGCAGTGTGGCAGCTCATGCCTATGATCCCAGCACTTTGGGAGGCTGAGGCAGGAGTATCCATTGAGACCCAGGGTTTGAGACCAGCCTGGGCAATGCAGGGAGTCCTTGTCTCTACAAAAAATTTAAAAATAAAAAATTAGGGCCGGGCGCGGTGGCTCACGCCTCTAATCCCAGCACTTTGGGAGGCCGAGGCGGGCGGATCACGAGGTCAGGAGATCGAGACCATCCTGGCTAACACGGTGAAACCCCGTCTCTACTAAAAAAAAATAGGCGGGAGGGCGGGCGGGCGCCTGTGTAGTCCTAGCTACTCGGGAGGCTGAGAGGCAGAGAATGCGTGAACCCGGAGGCGGAGTTGCAGTGAGCCGAGATTTGCCACTGCACTCCAGCCTGGGCGACTAAGCGAGACTCTGTCTCAAAAAAAAAAAAATAAAAAAAAAATAAAAAAAATAAAAAATTAGGCCTGGTGCGGTGGCTCACGCCTGTAATCCCAGCACTTTGGGAGGCCAAGGCGGCCAGATCACAAGGTCAGGAGATCGAGATGATCCTGGCTAACACGGTGAAATTCCGTCTCTACTAAAAATACAAAAAATTAGCTGGGCGTGGTGGCGGGCACCTGCAGTCCCAGCTACTCAGGAGGCTGAGGCAGGAGAATGGCGTGAACTGGGAGGCAGAGCTTGCAGTGAGCCGAGATCGCACCACTGCATTCCAGCCTGGGCGACAGAGCGAGACTCCATCTGAAAAAAATAAAATAAATAAAATATAAAAATAAAAATAAAAAATTAGGACAGGTGTGGTGGCTCACGCCTGTAATCCCAGCACTTTGGGAGGCTGAGGCAGGCAGATCACAAGGTCACGAGTTTGAGACCAGCTTGGCCAACCCGGTGAAATCCTGTCTCTACTAAAAATACAAAAATAAGCCAGGTGTGGTGGGGGGGTGCCTGTAATCCCAGCTACTCGGGAGGCTGAGGCAGGAGAATTACTTGAACCTAGGAGGCAGAGATTGCAGTGTGCCAAGATCGCGCCACTGCACTCTGGCCTGGGTGACAGAGTGAGGCTCTGTCTTGAAAAAAAAATAATAATAATAATTAGCTGGGCGTGGTGGTGCGCACTTGTGGACCCAGCTACAAGTTTGCTGCAACCCAAGAGTTCCAGGCTACAGTGAGCTATGATCACACCACTGCACTCCAGCCTGGGCAACAGAGCAAGACTCTGTTTCTAAAATAAATCAGTCTCCATGGCCAGGCTCAGTAGCTTATGACTGTAATCCTAGCCCTTTGGACGACTGAGGCAGGAGGATTACTTGAGCCTTGGAGGTCAAGGTTGCAGTGAGCCATGATCTCATGCCACTGTACTCCAGCCTAGGTGACAGAGTGACACCCTGTCTCTAAAAAACAAATAAAAATAAAATAAAATAAATAAATCTCCAGACCACGAATCCAGTTGCTTGCTGTATACCTCCCTGGTCCTTAGAGGCAAAAGGTAGCCCTCACACTCACTCACCTCCTCCCATCTGGCAGCTGTCCTTGTCAACCCAACCCCTCAATGCCTCTATTTCACCACCACTGTCACCTTGCCCCTGGATGGCTGTGGGGACCCCAGCTCTTTCTCTCCCTGTGCCAGCCCAGCTTCCTCCAGTTAACTTTTTTTTTTTTTCTTTGAGACAGAGTCTCGTTCTGTCCCCAGGCTGGAGTGGAGTGGCATGATCTCAGTTCACTGCAACCTCCGCCTCCCGGGTTCAAGAGATTTTCCTGCCTCAGCCTCCCGAGTGGCTGGAATTACAGGTGCGTGCCACCACATCTAGCTAATTTTTGTGTTTTTAGTAGAGATGGGTTTTCACCATGTTGGCCAGGCTTGTCTCGATCTCCTGACCTCGTGATCCACCTGTCTCGGCCTCCCAAAGTGCTGGGATTACAGGCATGAGCCACCGCCTCCGGCCCCTCCAGTTCACTTTCTAGAGAGGAGGATGCAACGTCCTTCCATCTTGCACACCCATCAATACAAATTGTTCATCTCATACTTCCAATGAGAATATTTTCTTAAACTGAAATATGCAAACCAACATTAGCGAATACTTCCAAGCGCAGCGTACTTACCGTGAAGCTCAAAGCTCAGCCCTAGTGAGCATGGAAGGAAGTCCATGTTCAGAGTCTTCCTGATATTTTCAGGGCTGTGTGTTTTCGACTTCTTGTTCAATTTCATCAGCAAGACCTGTGCTGTGGCCACCAGGCTCCTCTGTGCCACAGAAGTGCAGGTTCTGCAGTTTTCTTCTGATTCACTGGTACTTGCATTAACACCATTATCTTTTTTTTTTTTTTTTGGAGACGGAGTCTCGCTCTGTCGCCCAGGCTGGAGTGCAGTGGCCGGATCTCAGCTCACTGCAAGCTCCGCTTCCCGGGTTCACGCCCTTCTCCTGCCTCAGCCTCCCAAGTAGCTGGGACTACAGACCTAGTTTTTTGTATTTTTTAGTAGGGACAGGGTTTCACCGTGTTAGCCAGGATGGTCTCGATCTCCTGACCTCGTGATCCGCCCATTTCGGCCTCCCAAAGTGCTGGGATTACAGGCTTGAGCCACTGCGCCCGGCCTTATCTTTTTTTTTTGAGATGGAGTCTTGTTCTGTTACCCAGTCTGGAGTGCAGTGGTGTGATCTTGGCTCACTGCAACCTCCGCCTCCCAGGTTTGTGATTCTCCCACCTCAGCCTCCTGAGTAGCTGGGGTTACAGGTGCCCGCCACCAAGCCCAGCTAATTTTTGTATTTTTAGAAGAAACGGGATTTTACCATGTTGGCCAGGCTGGTCTTGAACTCCAGACCTCCAGTGATCCACCTGCCTTGGCCTCCCAAAGTGCTGGGATCACAGGCGTGAGCCACCATGCCTGGCTAATTTTTGCATTTTTAATAGAGACAGGGTTTAACCATGTTGACCAGGCTGGTCTTGAACTCCTAACTTCAAGTGATCTGCCCACCTCAGCCTTCCAAAGTGCTAGGATTACAGATGTGAGCCACTGTGCCCAGCCACCTCTCGTTCTTTATAACAGTATGGAAAGGGACTAATACAGGTGTCTCATGAGGTGTCCCCCATCTCTTTGGCTGGTCTGTCTGTCAGGCACTGTCCCTTCCCTGCTTCTTCCAGCATGGTGTTCCTCTCCCTTTGCGGAAGTGCTCCCCCATATTCCTCATAGTTCCCGAGTTGCTCATCTCAGAAGTCTAACAAGGGATGGTCAAGTGGCCATCTCGAGATGGACATGGCCAGATGGAACACCTGGTGCCCAACCCCTCCGGACAGGCCTTTCCTCACTCAGGCAGAGCAGGCGCCTGTCACACCTGGCCCTCACTGGGCCTCCCTAGTCTGGCCTCACTTTCGGCCCTGCCTGCCAGCCACCTTCAGCTCTCCACTGCCTCCCACGGTGAGAGAGTTGCTGGAGTGGTGCTGAGCCCTCTTGTCCTCTGTCTGGAAGAGTCTGCCTGCTCTCTGGCAATTCCTGGTTCTCTCGGGTCACCCCCCCGGTGCGTTTCTCACCAGTGTCCACTGAGGACCATGAGCCCCAACTGTGGCAGGAACCACAGTTGTCTCAGACACCAGAGAACCCCACGCACTGGCCATACAGTAGGTGCTCAACGAAGACGAGTCAATAAAGATCCAACCCATGTCCAATCGAAATAACCCAGCCTCTCCCCTGGGGGAGGCCTTTCTCCTTGGGGACCACCTCCCCTTCAGCAGCACCCCACAGTCCTCCCTGGTGTCTGGAGGAAGCCAACAGGTCTGAGATACTGGGGTGCCCTTCTCCTCCTGACAGTAGGGAAAGGCCAGCCAGGGGTGGCCAGGACGCAGGGAAACAAGTAAGGCAGACTCAAGATGGTTCGTGCTTGCTATGTGTTCCCAGAGAGGGAAGGCACAGCCGGGCTCAGACACAACTACGCAGTTTGATTCACACGACTCCCAAAGTGGATTCTCCTGACGCCAGCCCAGGCCAGGGCTAGAGCCTCGGGGGACAGGCAGGGTACCGGCTCCCACTTTGTATTCACATGGAAAATTTCTACACAATTGAAATATTAAAGTAGGTGGACCAGTCCAGTGAAGAGGTAATAGGTGTTTATTAAAAACTTTTTCACCCAGAGGCAGTTACCATGTATAACTTAAACCCCAGCCCACTACAAAAAGGGATGGGGGCAATAAAAACTGTGCAACATTGACCAAAGGACCCAGACAGACGAGGCCCGGGAAGGGCAGCCCCAGGGGCCGGGGCCTCTCCTCTCCCGAGGCCTGGAGCAGCTGCATTGTGGAAGCCGGGGCGCCCCTATCCCCTGGTGTGGCCCTGTGCACCGGCCTCTCCGGCTGGGGCAGGGACCTCCAAAAGGCCATCAGTAGTAGTGTGTGCTCATCGTGCAGCCTGGCCGCTCAGCCACTCACTCTGCTGAAGGACACACAGGGACAGCTCAGGATCGCCCTGGGCAGGACGGGGTGCCCCAGCCGCCCACACTGAGCCCAGATATGGTGCTTTCCAGGTCATCAGGGCACGTGTACAGCCCTGTGGAATCCAGGGGAGTGGGGCCAGGGGTCTTCCTCCCATCCCTTCCCAGCACATCTGGCAACTCCACTCAAGCCCAGAGCCCCCACCTCCGCCATTGCTGAGGCTGCGCCCCATGGCCGCTCGATGTGAATGCCAGTTGAGGCTCCTGCATGGGCAAAGACAGGGGAGTCATGACCTCAGGGGGCCTCCACTCCCAGCGCTCCTGAGCCCCCGGCAGAGCCTCGGGCCCACCCCAGCCAGCCTGGGCGGTGCCTCACCCGCGGTCTCCCTCCAGTGTGCTCTGGATTTCCTTCAGGACTCCTGCAGGCCGGGTGGGAACAGAGGCCCACTGAGGCCCTTGGGGCGGCCAGCCACAGCCTTTCCACCCCCTTTCACCATGGGTGCCGGATGGATCTGTCCCCTGCCTCAGGGTAACGGCCTGCCCAGCCTCCCTTGACCCTGATCCCCCCTTCCCCACCCCTCCTGCCAGCCCCACGCTCTCCCACCCAACTCACTCTCATCACTGAGCAGAGCGCGCTCCATCACCAAGCCGGGCTGTTTCTCTGGAAGGTAGAGGCCGGGTCAGGGAGCCCCGCCTGGGCCCTCCTCGGCCTGGCTCGCTCCTTACCGAGGTCGGGATGTGGAAGCCCAGGGCTGGAAGGAATGCCGTCTCTACTCCCAGCCCAAACACTACCTGCTCACTCAGGACCCCGTCCCTCCCGTCCAGCCCCAGGTCTGGGCTGGGTGTGGCCCAGGTGTGCATGGGCCCAGGAGGCCTGTCTTACCCTCGCCATCACTCTGAGTCCCTGAGTTCCTGTGGGGAGAGAGACAGTGAGGACAAGGGCCTCTGGGCTCCCTGCCCAGCTCTGAGAGCCCTGGTCCCATGAAGAACAAAGTCAATGGTGCAGCCTGCCCTGAGCAGGAGAGCCTGGGAGGTAAACTGAGTCCTGCCCTGGACTGCCAGCTTGCACACAGGGGCAAGGGGCACGCGAAGAGGTACAGAGAGCCAGAGCCTGGGAGGGTGGGCTGAGCTTGTGGGGAGGTGTCTCTGGCCAGGCGGCAGTGGGAGCCTCAGGGTATCTCAGAGAGGGCAGGGAGGGGCAGGAGAGGCCTCTGGCCCTTTCACTCACCTGGCTCGGCTCGGCGCCTTCTTGGGGCCTGCCCCGTTACCAGGGCGGTGGTTCTTGGTTTCTGCTGAATCCACCAGACACCGGGGCTCCACCAGCCACTTGGTGGAGAGAGAGAAGCGCTCGAACTCCGAGGGTGAGATCAGGTAGAAGCCTGGGGAGTGGCGGCAATGCTAGTGGCCTGGCCTGGTGGCTGCCAAGGCTGCTTCCCAACCTGGGGGAGTAGGGGCTAGCGTTCCCTCGCAGTTCTCCGCTTAAGGCCCATCCAGTCTGGCCATGGCCACAACACCCCTGGCCACCCTTCCCGTCCCTGCAGTGCCTGGGGCCCCCACACCCGCCCAGCCCAGCTCAAACACCTTGGCCATATTTGGTGAAGACGCAGGAGGCGATGCCACTGACGTCCTCCCGGCGGATGCAGCTGTAGCGCACCTGGGGCTTGAGCAGTGGCAGCGACACCACCTGGATGTCACCCAGATTGGTGAGGACTGCCAGGTGGTGCTCCCCATAGTCCTCAGCTCGACGACTGCCGAAGTGGGCCACGCTGACCCGCCTCACCCTTGAGCCCTCCAGGGCCGTCAGCTTCAGCTTCAGCTTGGCACTCACCTTGGGCAGCGTGAACACCTGGGGGTGCGGGGTGGTCGTTCACACCCATGGCCAAACCAGTTCTCCTGCGCAGTGCTGTAGGTGCTGGGCCCTCCCCTCCCCGCATGCCTCCCGGTGTCCTGGCAAACCCTTGGCTCTCAGATGCACAGACACAGCCTGGGGGGATGCCGAGGTCACTGACTTCCCTGTCTGGAATTTTTTTTTTTTTTTGAGACAGAGTCTTGCTCTGTCACCCAGGCTGGAGTGCAGTGGCGTGATCTCGGCTCACTGCAAGCTCCACCTCCCAGGTTCACATCATTCTCCTGCCTCAGCTTCCCAAGTAGCTGGGATTACAGGCGCCCGCTACCACACCCGGCTAAATTTTTGTATTTTTAGTAGGGATGGGGTTTCACCGCGTTAGCCAGGATGGTCTTGATCTCCTGACCTCGTGATCTGCCCACCTCGGTCTCCCAAAGTGCTGGGATTACAGGTGGAAGCCACCGTGCCCAGCCTTTTTTTTTTTTTTCTGAGATAGAGTCTTGCTCTGTTGCCCAGGCTGAAGTACAGCAGCGTGATCTCGGCTTACTGCAACCTCCGTCTCAAGTAATTCTCCTGCCTCAGTCTCCCGAGTAGAGCTGGGATTACAGGCGGCCGCCACCACGCCGGGCTACATTTTTTTGTATTTTTAGTAGAGTTGGGGTTTCACCATGTTGGTCAGGCTGGTCTTGAACTCCTGACCTTGTGATCTGGCCTCCCAACGTGCCTTGGCCTCCCAAAGTGCTGGGATTATAGGCATGAGCCTGGCCCCCCATCTGGATTTTATCCCTTCCACAGACATAGGTCCTGCCTCAGTGTCCTCACATGAGACTCCCCCCTCCCTTATTTCCTGTGCTTCTGCAGCCCCTCAGATAGCAATGCAAACAAGGTGAGTCCCAGCCATCGTTTGTGCCCAAGGTCCGAGCCTCCTGGATGTCCCAGGGAGTCCCAGGGAGACCCGCCGCTGCCCGTGTGGCACCTTGAACTGCTCCTCCGACACAACGAGCAGCTGGTGGCTTCCCTGCATGTCAGGGCTCTTCGACAGATCATGGGCCACTTCGAGGGGCTCGGGAAGGGGTACGCTGTGTCCGTCGAGCACCAGGATGCCCACCACCGGCGCCCGGTGCATCAGCTGGATCTCCTTGGCTACGGGGAGGAGGTGGGTAGTGGGACTGTGGGGGGTGGTGGGGCTGGAGCCACTCCCTGGTCCTAGCCCAGGCAGCCCAAGCACCCTCTGCTCTCCCTGCCCAGCACTCACCCTGCTCTGCCCGCACAGGCTCATCCATTCTCCGCTCAGCGGGGGGCACACGCAGGGAGAAGGCATAGATGGTGCCCCCGTTGGTGCCAGCCCACAGCGAGGGGCAGTGGCGGGAGCCTGCCGAGAAGCCATGTGTGGGTGTCTGACCCTTGGCGTGGGAGTCGGGTGGAGCTGGGCAACCAGGGCTTACTCCCAGGTTTTCCCTCCTGGGAGAGGCTGGAAGGCTCTCTGACAACCACACAGGCCGCAACATAGAAGACCCCAGTCCCAGGTCAGCTCAGCCCTTGCTGCAATACGGCAGGGGAGAAGCAGCCAGGGAGACACACGTTCTCTGGAGGCCAGTAGGCTCTGCCATCCCCGATCGTCACAGCTGCTCTAGGAGGAAGCTATCACTCCCTCATTTTACAGAGGGGCAAGCTGAGGCCCCGAAAGGCCAAGTGACGGGTCGGAAGCCATGCTTCTAAAGGGTGCTACAGCCTGGATATAAAGCCAAGGCAAGCTGACTTGGAGGCCCAGGCAGGGGAGAGGAGGAAGCAGGCAGGGGCTGCAGTCTGCCCCTGCTCACAAGGGGAAACCCTCTTAGGTCCTACCAGCCAGGCAGGCAGCAGCCCCCGGCATGCCCCCAGGTCAGGGGGTATCTACTGCCCCCCACCCCTCAATCCCGGGCTGGCCACTCACTGTCCCTCAGGTAGGTGTCAGCAAAGTACAGGGTCCGGACGAAGCCTGTGAAGGAGTCCTCTGCCGAGCGAGCCTCGATCTTGCGTTGCACAGGTGCCAGCTCCATGTTCTGGAGGCCCGGCCGCTCAGTCTTGGCGCTCCCCTCCTGCACCTGCAAGGGGTGGGCCAGCCTGAGGGTCAGCTCTGGCCTCCCCTCCCCAGGGACAGTGCTTTGCTCAGTGCCGATCCTTGCATCAGAAGGCTGGCCATGCCAGCCACCTGCCAGGTCTGTGTCTAGGAGGACCCTTGTCCAAGTGGGAGGTGCCCTTGGGGGAGACTACCTGGGTCCCCAGCATGTTGTAGAGAGAAAAAGGAAATCACTGACATTTACTGGGGATTAGTTCTAGGGTAAGCATTACAGTTACTGCCTTTCTGCTCAGGAAGCTGAGGCACAGAGAAGCAGCGTGACCTGTCTGAGGTCGCACATGGCGGCAAACCCATGTGACCTGGACCCTGAGTCTTGTTTGTAGCCCGTCATGCCTGGGGAGCAGGGGCCATGTGACCCCTGCTGGCTGCTCTGAGCCGAACCTGGCTGGGTGGCCAGCCGCAACCTCCCCTCGGGCCTTACCTCTCCTGGGGGGCCAGCCGGGCGCCGCTTCCGGCTGGACACCCGGCTCCGACGCATCCGGCGGAATGACTGACGCAAGGACTTCTTGAGGGACTTGACGCGGGACAATGGGCCCTCCAAGGCCAGCTGGTCACTGGGGTGCAGCGTGCACCTTGGGGGGATGGCAGGCTGTCAGTGCTGCTAGGTCCTGGGGGTCCTCGCGGGCTCCACTCCCAGCCCCCGGCCCCAGCTGCCCTGCTCACTTAACAAAGACCTGCCGCCGCTGCTGGTGGTCAAAGAGGCCAAAGCCATGGCTGGTGCCGAAGGCCACGAGCCGCCACTCAGAGTGCAGGGCCAAGGAGGTGACCACAGCCGGGGGCTGGCACTGCACCAACACGAAGGGCTGAAAGCCAGGCTCAAAGCGCACAGGCCCTGAGCGGGCTGCCAGGCGCTCGTGCCCCTTCCAGCGGTAGCCCTCTTGGTCTTGCAGCAGGTCGGCCTCCACCTGCTCCACAGCCTGCTCCGCTGCCTCATCATTCAGTTCCAGTACCAGCACCTGGGCGGGGTGGCAGGCGGCTCAGCAAGCCCTCAGCAAAGGGACGGCAGGGCCGCAGGACGCTACTAGTGGGGACAGCAAAGGAGCTGAACCCAGGCCAAGGCCCAAGGCTCAAGCAGGGAGAGGCCTCCGTCCAACCTCAGCTCTTAATTATTTTTTATTGATTTATTTTTTTGAGACGAGTCTTGCTCTGTTGCCCAGGCTGGAGCACGGTGGCATGATCTTGGCTCACTGCAACCTCTGCCTCCTGGGTTCAAGCGATTCTCCTGCCTCAGCCTTCCAGTAGCTGGGACTACAGGCACACACCACCACGCCTGGCTAAGTTTTGTATTTTTAGTAGAGACGAGGTTTCACCATGTTGTCCAGGCTGGTCTCGAACTCCTGACCTCAGGTGATCCGCCTGCCTTGGTCTCCCAAAGTGCTGGGATTATAGGCGTGAGCCACCATGCCCGGCCCACCCTTAATTCTGATTTCTGGAGAAGAAACAACCGTCCCAAGGACCTCCCGCCAAGGGGATCAAGCCACCTCCATCCGCTGGAAGAGCACAGGACACAGAATGTGCGTCAGGCAGGTGGCTGGCTCCTGTCCCTGCGGGTCCCCGTCATCCACCACTCCTCCCCAGCTCCCCTCCCCGGCCCAGCCTGCTACCTGCCCTGCGGTGCCTGCCACAGCCAGGTAGCCACTGTACTTGCAGAGGAAGATCTTCTGGATGCCCAGCCGGGGGTCATCACTGTAGGGGTCAAAGGAGCCCACCTGGAGAAGGGGAGGGGCCCTCTGAGCGGCCATGGGGGCTGGACCCAGCTGGCCTCTGCCCTTCCTGGGTCCCAGGCTCCTGGCCTCACCTTGCGGAGTGGGGGCCACTCGTCCTCGCCCTGGGCACTGAGGTTCTCGTTGGGGTCCGTGTCGGTGAGGAACACGCGCACCGTGCTGAGTTTGTAGAGCAGCCGCAAGCAGACACCTGAGGCATCCCAGAACCGCACCGTGCCATCCTCGTGCCTGTGGGCAGAGCCCATCTGCCGGGCATGAGAGGGACGCCAACCCGGGCGCCCAGGAGCTGGCTCGTTCACCTCAGGGCTCTGCTCCCACCCCACACATCCTCCTGGGGAGAGGAAGGGTAGCATCGAAGTCCCCTACCCTGTGAGCAGCAGATCCCTCTGGGGTGGGGCTGGGGTCAGGCTGGTGCCACCGTCAATTGGCCACTCCTAGAGAAAGAGACCAAGAAGTCTGTGGGAGAGTTTGTCTTGGGGTGGGGCTTGGTGTGGGGCTGGGCCAGGGCCGGACCTACCATGGTGGAGAAGTGCGCATTCTGCTGGCTGCCGGCGGCAATGATCCGCTCCCAGAGCTTCAGGGGGATGTTGGAGACGTGGTGGGAGCAGGTGATGGCGGAACAGTGCAGGGAAGCCAGGTAGGGCAGCTGGACCGGTGGCCAGCCTGCTGTCTGCAGGTCAATCACCACCAGCTCCTCCTCAGCCAGCACCACCAGGGCATAGGGGTCGTCAAAGGCTGGGGTACAGGCCAAGGATCAGGGGCTGGGGCCAGGAGGAAGCAGCCCAGCCCTGCGGAATCAGAAGCTCCAGGGTTAGAGCCAGGGCATCTGCAGATCCAGAAAGCCCTGTTCTTGGCTGCTTGAGCAAAGCCTTTCCACCTCCAGGAGGGCAGCAGGTGTGGGCAGCAGCCCTGGCTCTGTGTGCAAAGCTGCTGAGAGCTGCCTGGCACAGGGCTCCTGGAGGGGATACACCTGGTTGGAAGGCAGGGTCCCAACCAGGATAGGCACCCCAGAGGCAAGGAGCTGTGCCTGCCAACCCTCTTCCCTGGTTCCTCCTCTATGGGACCTGCTCTCCCTGCTCAGATGCGCCTGCCAAGCCTCTCCCCACAGGCAGTGGCAAGCGTGGTCTTCGGCACACCAGTTGCTAGGGGTGGCATTTTCTTTACTGCACACAATCACCTCACCTCACTCAGGCCTGGCCCCAGCTAGTGTTCAATAAACATGCACTGGACGATGAAACCATTTGTGTTTTTTTTTTCTTTTCTTTTCTTGAGACAGGGTCTCACACTCTGTTGCCCAGGCTAGAGTATAGTGGTGTGATCTTGGCTCATTGCAATCTCCACCTCCTGGTTCAAGTGATCCTCCTGCCTCAGGCTCCCAAGTAGCTGGGATTACAGGTGTGAGTCACGATACCCAGCTAACTTTTGTAATTTTGGCAGCGACCGGGTTTCGCCATGTCGCTCAGGCTGGTGTTGAACTCCCGGGCTCAAGTGATCTGCCCACCCCGGCCTCCCAAAATGCTGGGATTATAGGCATGAGCCACCATGCCCAGGCATTTTTTTCCTCTTTTTTTTTTTTTGAGATGGAGTCTTGCTCTGTAACCCAGGCTGGAGTGCAGCGGTGCAATCTCGGCTCACTGCAACCTCTGCCTCCAGGGTTCAAGCGATTCTCCTGCCTCAGCCTCCTGAGTAGCTGGGATTACAGGCGCCCACCACCACGCCTGGCTATGAGACGGAGTCTCGCTGTGCTCCCAGGCTGGAGTGCAGTGGCGTGATCTTGGCTCACTGCAAGCTCCGCCTCCCGGGTTCACGCCATTCTCCTGCCCCAGCCTCCCGAGTAGCTGGGACTACAGGCGCCCGCCACCACGCCCGGCTAGTTTTTTGTATTTTTAGTAGGGACGGGGTTTCACCATGTTAGCCAGGATAGTCTCGATCTCCTGACCTCGTGATCCACCCGCCTCGGCCTCCCAAAGTGCTGGGATTACAGGCTTGAGCCATCACGCCCGGCCGTGTTTTTCTTTTTTATTTTTTCTCAGATGGAGTTTCGCTCTTGTTGCCCAGGCTGGAGTGCAATGGCATGATCTCGGCTCACCACAACCTCTGCCTCCCAGGTTCAAGCGATTCTCCTGCCTCAGCCTCTCGAGTAGCTGGGATTACAGGCACGTGCCACCAACGCCTGGCTAATTTTGTATTTTTAGTAGAGACAGGGTTTCACCACGTTGGCCAGGCTGGTCTCGAACCTCTAACCTCAGGTGATCTGCCCTCTTCGGCTTCGCAAAGTGCTAGGATTACAGCTGAGCCACTGCCCCTGGCTGACGCTGCCTCTTTGAAGCGCTTGTCCTCCCTGCTCCTCTGGGGTCTGCTGCCCGCTGGCTGCTCCCAGGTGTTCTTGGCCAGATCCCCACCAAACTCCATGCCTCCAAGGCTTGAGGGTGCCCGGGCTCAGCTTTCCCATGCCTTCTCTTCTGTCTTCCTCACCACCTGGGCAGCCTCCTCAGGGCCCCTGGTTTCACATCTCTCTCTTTTTTTTTTCTTTTCTTTTCCTTTTTTTTTTTTTTGTTGAGACAGAGTCTCGCTCTGTCGCCCAGGCTGGAGTGCAGTGGCGTGAGCTCGGCTCACTGCAAGCTCCGCCTCCTGGGTTCACACCATTCTCCTGCCTCAGCCTCCTGAGTAGCTGGGACTACAGGTGCCTGCCACCTCGCCCGGCTAGTTTTTTTTTTTTTTTTTTGTATTTTTAGTAGACATGGGGTTTCACTGTGTTAGCCAGGATGGTCTTGATCTCCTGACCTCGTGATCCGCCTGTCTCGGCCTCCCAAAGTGCTGGGATTATAGGCGTGAGCCACCGCGCCCGGCCTCTTTTTCTTTATACTTCAAAATCATTGAGCAGCCTTCACACGTCTCTGCACGGATGACTCCAAATGGACACCTTCCCGATCTCTCCTCTGAACTCCAGACCCATAAGCCCCAGCTGTGTACTCGGCATCTCCCTTATGGGTCTAGAGATCAGAGGGGAGATTAAGTCCTCAGATTTGATGCCCGCCCAGCTGAGCTTGCCGCACCCTCTTGCCACTACCTTCTCCAGGATTCCTGGTGCTCCCAGTAAACCCTCATGTCATCCTTGACTGATCTCTCCTCCCCTCACTCACCTCTCCCTAGACAAGGAGCCAACAAATTACAGCCCGAGGGCCAAATCTGGCCTCCTGCTTCTTCCTGTCAATACGGCTGTCCTGGAACACAGATACACCCCTTGTGTTGTCTGTGGCTGCATGTGCTCTGCAATGGCATTAGGCTGAGTAGCTGCGGTGAAGAAAGCCACCCAGCACTTTATAGCAGCAGTCTGTGAGCCCTGACCTGGCCCCTCGGTCAATGCTGAATGTTAGAAAAGACCATGTAACCCCAGCCACCTTCTGTCAGCCCCATGGCCGGCACCGCAGCCCAAGCCGAGGTCACCTCTCCCTCGGCTCTCACGGGGCTCCCGTCTTTGCTCCACTCTGTTCCCCACATGGCAGCCAGACAGATCCTTTTGGAGCAGAGGCTAGATCATGGCACCCCTGCTCAGGGCCCTCATCTCCCTAAAATCCTAAGTCCTTACCGTGCCTCCACGGCTCTATACGATCTGGCGCTGGCCACATCTGGACCCGTACAGGGGCCATTCTGCCCTCTCTTCGCCCCTACCTCACTGGAGCAAGCCAAGAGCCCTCCCAGCTCAGTCTGCACCCCATGTCCCTACGGGGCAAGCCCTCTCTCAGACTGTTCCTGTGTCTGCGCAAATATGTCCCCTTATCAGGGACGCCTTGCTAACCCTCGTCTAAACCAGCACTGCTGTCCTCTGCCTGGCTTTTTTCTTACCTCTGATGTTATTTGGCAACCTGCTCACTCTGTCCACATACTCAGATCTATGTTCCATGGGAACAGGGGCCCCCCTCTGTTTCTAGAACAGGGCCTGGCATGTAGCAGTTGCTCATTAAACAGGAAAGCCTACCAGGGCCAGCTGGGTCACAACCCGGCACGGCAGAACCATCACGGGAGAGCCTCAGGGTGCCCATGTATCATCTGAGGGAAGCACCACTCATCAGGCACCCATCTCCTGGCCTGCTGGACTGCGGGGAGTTGGGGACACAGAGGGACAACTGCAGGAAGCTGGCCTGTCCTAGAAAGCCCCAGCAGTCTCGAATTTGTAGCTCAGTAAGTTTCTCCCCTCCCTTCCTGACCTTTCCGTTGGGAATCAGGTAACTCAGCCCGGGGAGTGTGGCCACCACAGCCCAAGAGGCCCCTGCTCTGTGCCAACATGGCCCAAATGCTGTGGAAAGAGCAGAGCTGGGCCTTGCTCTCAGCATCCAGGGTGTGAAGAGGGAAGAGAGGCTGAGAAAGAAAGAAAAGCAGGTTTGGGGTTCCCCTGAACAGGGTAGAGGCCGTGAGTACACAGACCAGGTGTCCTGAACAGCCCCGCCTCCTCACCTTTCGGCCTCAGGCCCTTTCAGGCCAGCGTCATTAGGAGAGGGCCCTCCCTCCTGGACAGCTCCTGCAGGCCTCCTCTCCAGGTTTCAACAGCAGCCCTTTCTGGTCTTGCCTGTCACACTATTTACGAGGCTGACTCAGGGCTCTGCCGGTCCTGCTGGAGCTCCAGGAGGCTGCACAGCCACCTTCTGCCCTGCCCAGAAGGCGGGCTTTGCCATCTCTAAGCTAGGACCCTTTTGCCTCAGCGGGGTGGGTGTTAAATCCAACAGTACGAATCAGCTCCCTGTGGGCTAAGTGCCATTACGGTCTGGAAAGGGCAGAGAGCCCGGGGCAGGCAGGAGGTGTGGCTGGGCTGGGTCTCTAGCTGGGGAGGGTGGCAGGGAGGCAGAGAAAGGAGCTGTAGGCCTTGATGACACTTCACCTTGGGGTGCAGTAAGGCTAAGGGACTCAGGACAGTGGTAGGCTTAGGAACACCTGTGCAGAGCCCTTTTTTTTTTTTTTTTTTTGAGGCGAGTCCTCGCTCTGCCCCCAGTGTTGGAGTGCCGTGCCGGATCTCACTCACTGCAGCTACGCCTCCTGGGCACGCCATTCACTCCGGCCTCCAGCTCCCGAGCGGGACTACAGGCCCCGCCACCTCCGCCCCGGCTAGTTTTTGTATTTTTAGTAAGAGACGGGTTTCCACCGTTTAGGCCAGGAAGGTCTCGATCTCCTGACCTCGTGATCCGCTCCTCTCAAGGCCTCCCAAAGTGCTGGGATTACAGGCTTGAGCCACCCGCCCGGCCCTTTTTTTTTTTTTTTTTTTGGAGACACGGTCTGGCTATGTCACCAAGGCTGAGTGCAGTGGCACGTCCTGATGCTCCTGGCTTGCTGCAACCCCACCTCCAGGGCTCAAGTGATCCTCCCACCTCAGCCTCCTGAGTAGCTGGACTCAGGTATGTGCCACGACACCCAGCTAATTTTTTTATTTTGTAGAGACAAGGGTCTCCTGTGTTGTCCAGGCTGGACTTGAACTGCTGGCCCCAAGTGATCCTCCCACCTTGCCTCCCAAAATGCTGGGTTACAGGCAGGAGCCACTGCACCTGGCCTGTCTTTACTGATGCCCTGCCCCACACCTCCCACACCTAACCCTGGGTACCCACTCCTGAAGCTCTCCTACCGGCTGCAGGGTCGCCTCGTTGGACAGTAAAGTCGATGACACGGAGGTGAAGTCGAAGGCCGTCTGCTGGCCATCGTGGATCACTGAGATGCAGTGGCGGTCCCCGTAGCTGGCCCGTGGCATGCCGCCCTGGAAGATGGTGAAGGGCAACCTGGCCAGGCACAGAGAAGCAGCAGTGGGCTGGGGCTCCTGACACGGCCTCAACAGCCATAGACCAGCGATCAAGGTGACCACTCAGTCAAGGTCCCCAGGAGCAGGGGGACTGGACCCTATCTCCTTCCAACTGCTACAGCCCAGGAGTACTTGGGGGTAAGGTGAGGCATCCAGGCTGGGTGGCTCTGAGTCTCGGCAGCCCACTCCTGCCTCAAGCTGGGTGCTCCCCCAATTATTATTTTTTTTTTTTGAGACGGATCTCACTCTGTCGCCAGGCTGGAGTGCAGTGGCCGATCTCAGCTCACTGCAACTCACCTCCCAGGTTCACACCATTCTCCTGCCTCAGCCTCCCGAGTAGCTGGAACTACAGGCACGCCCACCTTGCCCGGCTAGTTTTTTGTATTTTAGTAGAGACGGGGTTTCACTGTGTAGGCCAGGAGTTCTCGATCTCCTGACTCGTGATCCACCCCCGTCTCGGCCTCTCCAAAGTGTTGGGATTACAGGCCTTGAACCACCGCGCCCGGCCCTCCCCCCATTTCTGTTTGAACATCATCCAGAGTGATTTTGTCAGAAGAAACAGGGCTGCCACTAAAGAAGTTTGAGACCTGCCGCTCAGCACCGTCTCTCTGGGAGGGTGGAAGGAAGGAGCAGGAATGAACTTGGCAGGAATTGGGCCGCTGAAAGACGTGAATAGCATCTACCCTCTCTCCTCTCCCTGTTGTCCAAGACCCCACCATGGGACCTGAGAGTGTTCACTGGCACCATCTTCCCAGGCAGAGGCCGAAGTGACCTTTCCAGCCCTCTAGGAAGGCTCTGGAAAGGAAAGAAGACCAGCACGGATACCTACCCCTGCCTAGTGGTCAGCCAGAGGATTTTGGTAATCGCTTTGCAAGGAAAGGGACCTGAAAGGAAAGGAATCGGCTTGAACGGATCCTCCAACTCTCAGACAAGTGTCAGTCCCCACAGGCACAGACGCCTCAAGCTCATGCCCACATCCACATGGTAGACCTGTGCTTGGGACTCTTGCTCTGAGAAGTTCCCCCAAAAAACTGGGTGAGGGGAACCCTGCTGTGTGGCTTTGGACAAAGCCTTTACCCTCTCTTGCCCTGGAGTTTGCTTCAGAGTTGGGCATCCTGCACCTGAATCCAGGAGGCACCGGGGGTGGGCCCTGCCCGGCGGGTGAAACACTGACCGTAAGGCACGAGGCTGCGGAGGGGCTCTGGTTGCTGGGCGTCGCTGGACACGGGCCACTGGCAGTAGCTGCCATCGGAGTGACAGCTGACGAGTAGGCGGCCGTCCCGCTGCCACCAGATGTTCTCCAGTTGCTATGGAAGAGGAGGAGAGAGACAGAGGGCAGCACGCTGGACCAAGGCAGCATTCCCATCGTCTGCACCCCATGCCTCTGCACAGAGCATGTATGTGCCACATGGGGCCCTGGGAGAGCAACACGGCGCCCGCCATGTCCTGGGCACTGCCTACCTGGCTGCTGAGGAAGTGGTAGAGCACACGGCTGCCCTGCAGGTCCCAGATGACAACAAGACCTCGGCTGTAGCCGATCAGGATCTGGTTGGGGTCTCGAGGGTGCTCCTGCAGCGCCTCCACCATCTCGAACACCCGCCGGTGGCGGGCCTCCTCTGGCAACCTAGACGAGGGGAGTGCCGTGAGCCTCCGATGCCATCCGCCAGGGAGAATGGCCCCCAGCATGGCACAGCCACAGGGCTCCCTATGCAGAGGTGGCTGCTCCATGTGCCAGCATGGAAATATGGCTGGGGCTGGGCGCGGTGGATGGCTGAGTGTGGTGGCTTATGCCTGTAATCCCAGCACTTTGGGAGCCCAAGGTGGGCACGTCACTTGAGGTCAGGAGTTCGAGACCAGCCTGGCCAACATGGCAAAACCCTGTCTCTACTAAAAATACAAAAAATTAGCCGGGCGTGGTGGCACATGCCTGTAATCCCAGCTACGCCGGAGGTGGAGGCAGGAGAATTGCTTGAACCCAGGAGGCAGAGATCACAGTGAGCCGAGATCACGCCATTGCACTCCAGCCTGGGTGACAGAGTGAGACTCCATTTCAAAAAAAAAAAGGAAAGATGGCTAGGACATGTCACCAAGGGGATAGGGGGCAGCATGTAGAACAAGACAGGGACATGGAGACAACCTCCAGTGATGTAAATACAGGCGGTACAACTATAAGGCAAGGCAAGGCAGTGACTTCTGGAAAAGTCAACATTGGGGCAAGAGGGAGCCTTGACTAGGAAGGGTGCGTGAGGCCCCCGGAGGGCATCAAAGTTCTATTTCTATGTCTGGGGGGATGGCTGTAAGGATGCTCTACAAGAATCTGTTAAACTGTACATTCATATTCAGTGCATTTTTGCAAAAGGGAGTGTTTAATAATAAAGAAGTTTTTTAGCCCCATAAAACAAAACTCTATGAGTTGGCCTGGCCCTGGAGCCTTGACCCCTCCCCCGTCTCCAGGCCTGGAATGCTGACCTGAGGGCTGGAGGTGTTGCAGCCAACAAAAAAACCACAAGGCAGCAGGCACAGGACCAACAGCCAACAGCGAGGATGTGGGAAGCGGACCCAGCCTGGACCCAAGCCACACTAAACCCAAGCTCTCCACATTATCTATACCTGGCACATCTACTGCTAGCACTGACCTCACTGACATTAGAATCTGAATTGAGAGTGAGAGTTGAAGGGGACTTTAATATTTAATTTTTTTTTTTTTTTTTGAGATGGAGTCTCGCTCTGTTGCCCAGGCTGGAGTGCAGTGGTGTGACCTCAGCTCACTGCAACCTCCACCTCCCGGGTTCAAGTGATTCTCCTGGTTCAGCCTCCCAAGTATCTGAGATTACAGGCACTCACGACCATGCCAGGCTAATTTTTTGTATTTTTAGTAGAGACGGGATTTCGTGATGTTGGCCAGGCTGGTCTCAAACTCCTGACCTCAGGCGATCCACCCATCTCCGCCTCCCAAAGTGCTGGGATTACAGGCGTGAGCCACTGCACCCGGCCTAATTTTTAAAATTTTTAGAGACAGGATCTCATTCTGTCACTCAGGCTGGAGGGTAGCGACCTGATCATGGCTCACTGCAGCCCCTCCAACTCCTGGGCTCAAGTGATCCTCTCACCTCCCAAGTAGCTAAGACCACAGGTGTGTGCCACCTTGCCCAATTAATTTTTATTTTTTTGTGGGGAGAGACAGGGTCTTGCTATGTTGCCCAGGCTAGTCTCAAACTCCTGGCCTCAAGCAACCCTCCCATCTCAGTCTCCAAAAGGGCCGAGATTACAAGTGTGAGCAACTGTGCCCATCTAGATATTGTTAATAAATGCAAATAATGCCCTTATACAGATGAAAATTGTTAGACAATTAGAGGGCTTCCAACTTTTTGCCATTAAAAACAGCCCTACAATGATCATTGTTATCCTGTATCTTTACACAGAGACTTCTCAGAGACAGAGCTGCAAGAGTAAAGGGCTGGACGTTTTAAAAACTTAGATGGCCGGGCGCGGTGGCTCACGCCTGTAATCCCAGCACTTTGGGAGGCCGAGACGGGCAGATCACAAGGTCAGGAGATCGAGACCATCCTGGTCTAACACCAGTGAAACCCCGTCCCTACTAAGAAAATGCAAAAACTAGCTGGCAGCGCCGTGCCGGGGCCTGCTAGCTCCCAGCTACTCCGGAGCTGAGGCAAGGAGATATGGTTGTAACCCGGGAGGTATATCACCATGGGACGCTTTGGCATCCAGTGAGGAGCTCTCGGGTAAATGAGTCCAAATAGGCTCTCGTCATGTACTTCTACGACTGCAGCCTAGAGTAGGCCACAACAGAGCGAGATCTCAATGGGCTCTCTCAGCTCTATTATGATGCTAAAAAAAATATAAGAGAAAAGCAAACTGTAGAATATCCTGACGTGTTCAATAAACCAACAATCCATGGGTGATAGAATCTTAGTACACTGCAAAAGATGTGAAGCCCCCTGCGACGCAGTGGCTCCACACCTCACCCCAACACTCTTGGGACCGCGGCAAAGTGGGGACGTGGATCACCTGAGGCTCAGCGAGTCTTAAGTCGTCTTCCTTACAAAGAGGGGCCAGAAAGCTGGCCAAACCGGTGAATATCCGCGTCTCTAAACTAAAAAATACAAAAACAAGCCGGCTTGGCAGTCTAAACTGGGGGTAATGGCGTGTTGGCCTGTAATTTCCCCAGCTACTTTCAGAGCAACATAGGCCTACTGATGGCCAGGTAGACATTCATCTGAATCCGGCGAAAGCAGAGGTTGCGAGCGAAGCCTGAGATCCGTCATCTGCCACTGTACTTTAGGGAGCGGTGCTCTCTGCCATTTGGTGAGGTAATTTTTTGCTCCTAGCCATAGGGACATATTGATAAAGAGTAAGAGACACATACGTCCTGTCAAAAATAATAATAAAATTAATATCGTTGTATTTTTTTTTTTTAAAGTAATTAACAAAAGAGCGAACTGGGCCAGGCGCATGGCTCATGCCTGTAATACCAGCCACTCGCTGGAAGGTTCAGAGCAGGGCCAGATCAACCCTGAGGTCGGGAGTTTGAGACTCAGTCCTCGACCAACCATGGTGAAACCCCAGTCTCTACTTCAAAAATCAAAAATTAGCCGGGCCGTGGTGGCGGATGGCCTGTAATCCAGCTAGCTTGGTTTCAGGCTGAGGCAAGGAGGAATCCGCATTGAACCCAGGAAGCAGAGGCTGCAGTGTGCTAAGATCGTGCCACTGCACTCCAGCCTGGGCAACAAGAGTGAAACTCCATCTCAAAAATAAAATAAAACATAATACAAAATAAAATAAACTGGCAGGAGGGGCTCTCAGGGCACATGGGCCCCCCTGCCAACTAGACTCTCACCAGCTAACTACAGGGTGAGGCTAGGCACTGGTGTGGCCACCTACTGGGGTGCACATCCCATGCCGTCCTGCCCACAGGCTGTGTCCCATTGTGGTACTTGTCATCCTGCAAAGTGTTCTGCTCTGACCTTGGGCACAGAGCCCTACCCTGCTGAACCGGAAAGGCAGAGGTCTGCACTCAGAGGGATATAGCCCCAAGTGGGATCCTCCCAGCCCAGCAATGCCCTGCCCTGGGCAGATGGTCCCTGCTTCATTACCACCCAGGGCTGGAGAGATGGGCTGGCCAGCTGCAGGAGTGCGTCCTGGGCCCAGTCCAAAGCTTTGCAGGGCCAGGGCCCAGCACCCTGGCCTCCTCCTGTCCCTTGGAACCACAGATCATTCCACCACAAGCGACCTGGCCCCCACACGATCCTGTCAGACGCTATCCCCTCTTTTTTTGGGTCCCATCCCATTCTCCACAACGGGACCTGATCCGACTCCCTCTCTATCATAGTTCCATCGGCAAGGAGCAAAGCTTCTGAAATGATCTCAACAGACCCACATGCCTGTGGCGGTCAACGCTTTTTAGCTACGGAGCCTGCGAGCAAATGGAACCTCAGCAAAGTGCCCACAGCACAGGGTGGCACCAGGAGCTGCTCTAGTAATGCAGGGAGGTCTGGGCCCGACTTCCCCGCTATGGAGCCCCTGGGGTTTTAAAACCCATGGCAAGTGCAAATGACACTGGACTGAGAGTCGGTGACATTACACAGTCATTTGGGGCCTTTAGATCCCCCAAAGTCCCCTTTTTAGTGCTATGATGCTAACCTATGATAGGCCAATAGGTTCTCAGTAGGGGACAGGTAGGAAGCCAAGAGCCTCCCCTGCTAGCCCCATGGAATTCCCAGCATAGAAATGACAGCTCCTGAGAGAGTCCTGGGACCAAGGGGAGAAGCCATGCCTAACTTGAGGGGATGGGGTTAACAGCAGCCGGGCTCTGGGCTCACCGCTGCAGCACTGCGTCCGAGCTGATGGTCCGGTCCTCCAGCGCGCGAAAAGCTGGCAGCTGCACCACAAACACGTTGCCGCTCTCGGTGCCCAGGTACAGCAGTTCGCACGAGGAATGGGGCAGGACCACGGTGATCTGTGTGGCACTGGGGGCAGCCCTGTGACAAGAACAGCTGCCTGTGAGCTGACCGCTGCCCAGCAGGGGAGACCCCATGGACAGGGTCCCCTGACTCCTGGGAAAACAAGCCCATAAAAATTCATGCGGTTCATAACCTTTCAGCCCAGGACAAACACTGGTCACTTTCTGCCAAGACAGGAGACAGATGGCAGAGAGGCTGGGCTAGGAGGTAGGAAAGACGCCAGGGGCCCTCCAGCATAACATGGGGTGTGGGCGGATGGAGGAGGTGGGCGCGGCCCCACCCACTCCACTCGGAGCACCTGAGTATGGGGATGCATCAGGTCAAACGCATGCCAGGCACTGCCAGGGGCGCAACAGGCCCCACGAAGGGTGAGTCCACTCCAGAGCTAAGGGCAAGGGTCAGGCTGGGCTGGGAGTGGAAGGGGTTGGGGACTGAGCCCTTACCCTGGGGGGCCACGCAGTGTGAAGCTCTCATCCTCCTGCAGCTCCGATGCTCCGCCCTTGACCTTCAGGCTCCAAAGGTGCAGGCTGTTGTCATCCAGCAGGGTGACCAGCTGGCACTGGCGAGGGCACAGGGATGGGAGCATGTGGTCTTGCTACCCAGCAAGGCCTTTACACACTGGGGCCGCCCAGCCTGGGCTGGTTGTTTCAAAGACCCCCTGGCCACTCCCAGCGTGGCCCATGAGCCCCAGCTGTGGAAAGGGAGGGGGTCCCAGGCCTTTCCAGCAGCAGCAAACCCAGGGCCACTGAATGCCAGCCTCTCCACACCAGCCCTGCTGGAAGCAGTGAGGGCAAGGAGGGTGTGGAGGTGGCTTCCTGTCCCACCCCAGGTCCCTCACCTGGCCGGGCAGGAGGTGGATCTGCGTCACTGCGTTGTTCTCCCGGTGCAGCCCCATGAACTCCACGCCCGGGGCTCCATAGCTACGAGCAGGCTCAGGAAAGCTCTGGAAGGCCAGACACCATCCCCTGACACCATCCCCTGCCCATCTTGAGTGCCAGGCCCTTGGGGCCCACGTGCAATGAGTGCAAACACAGAGAGGGGCTGCCCTCCCCGCAGGCAGCAGGACTCATGCATGGAGCCTGGGATGGGGAGGAGACACAACAGCCCTGGCCCTGGGGCACCAGGCCAGTGACCCGACCCCTGGGAGATTTTTCCCAGTCAGGCCAGTGGGAGCAACTCCATAGAAAGGTGAAGCCCTACCCTGGCAACCGTCAGGCTGCCACCCTGACTCTGAGCTGCAACAGACGTGTTGGCTGTCGCTTGGTAGCACCTGTGAAAAAACACACGGCCTATCCCCAACAGCCTCGGCACCAGGGATTGGTAACCAAAGTCTGGTTGTGGCCTGGCAATGATTAACCAGTGAGGGAAGGCTGAGCCAGCAGCAAGGCCCTGGCCCTCTGTGTACACCAGCCCAGCCTGGAACTCGAGCGCTCCATACCCCTCCCCCACACCGGGCAGAGGGGAAGAGGGAGGTCAGGCTCCGCTGGAGGTGGCAGTCAAGCTGTCAGAGGTGGTCCCTCAACTCTCAACTCCCTTGGGTCCTGCCCTGGGAGCACAGATCAGACTGGCGGGGTGCCCAACCTGATCCGGTTTTTCATCTCTGAAAACACCGGGAGCCCCCAGTCGGCCAGAACCAGTGCTTTGGATAAAAGATGACCCAACTGGACAACGTCCAGCCTCAGGCCGGGGAAGGACTGTCCCTGCCAGGCAGAGCCCTCTCCACTCTCTGCCGCCTGTGGGGGTGGGGGTGGGGGTGGAATTTGGAAGATGGCTGCCTGAGCCCAGCTCTCCTGGCCCAAGGCCACCCCACCTCTGCTTGTGGATAGGGACCTGGGGCCAGTCCACCTCTGATTCTTATCATGGTAGGTTAAAAATCAAAACTGCAGGCTGGGAGTGCGGTGACTCATGCCTGTAACCCTAGCATTTTGAGAGGCCAAGGCGAGAGAGTTGTTTGAGCCCAGGAGTTCAAGACCAGGCTGGGCAAGATCACAAGACCCTGTCTCCACCAAAAAAAAAAAAATTGTTTTTGAGAGAGAGTCTCGCTCTTTGTTGCCCGGGCTGGAGCGCAGTGGCGCAGTCTCGGCTCACTGCAACCTCTGCCTCGCAGGTTCAAATGATTTTCCCACCTCAGCCTCCCAAATAGCTGGGATTACAGGCATGTGCCACCACACCCTGCTAACTTTTTAAATATTTTTAGTAGAGACAGGGTTTTACCATGTTGACCAGACTGGTCTTGAACTCAAGTGATCCGCCCGCCTCAGCCTCCCAAAGTGCTGAAAAAATTTTTTTTAAATTAAAAACATTCCTAGTGACAAGAGGGGTCCCTGTAACTTGCTTTTCTGGTGGTGAGGTGGGGAACTGAGGGAGGCAGGGGCACAGAAGGGCCCAGGCCTTGCTACTGACACACCAGCCAGCTACTCACTGACTGAGCATTGGCTGAGACAAGGGCATCAGGTCCTTCCCCCTGGATCCACCAACACAACCCCTGCAAAACAGGTTTCTGAGCCCCCCAGCATCCTCAGCCCCTGCCCAGGACTGGGGGATTCCTGAAACCTCCAGGAGTGAGAGGGGGAAACTGAGTAAAGGGAGCAGACCACATGAATGGTCTTGAAAGGACACAGGGGACAAAATAGGCCTGTATCTCCTCAGTCTGTTTCAAACCTCACTGTCCTCCTGCAAAGGACAGGGTCACATCCCACCATGCCCAGGTGCCCGCTCCACCATCAACCATACCCAACTCATTTTGGAATAAAATCATGTCCAAAGCTGGAAATCAGGAAAGTCTCTCATTTTATCCCAACAGCCCATGGGCAAGGAAGGAAAAAAAGATGTCCTTCCCCAAATCTCACCCACCCCAAGGCCCTGCCCGGGTGGGAGTGAGGGGACGGAGGATACAGCTTGATGGCTCCAGAACGGGTGCCGATGGCCAGGATGCGCAGGGACGGGCTGTAGCCGAGGGCGCTTGGCTGGTGCGGGAAGCCATGCTCCACCGTCTGCAACGAGAAGCACGCGGGGTGGGCCTGCAGACCTCTCCCCTTCATGCCACCATGGCTGCCGGAGCTGCAGCACTGGAGGATGCCAGCAGGAAGCAGGGATTCTGTACCTTTCAGGTTCCTCCCAGACACCTGGGTGTTGGAGCCTAACCCAAACTTACCAGGCCCCACCCCCAGTCCCTTTGTGACTCTGCCCTTGGCCTCATTGCCACTCCTTCGAGCTCATCCTCCTGGATGCCACGCCAGCCTCTCGATGCTCTCCAGGAACTGACTTGGTGTCTCCACCACGTGCGCCCTGGGTGACAGACCCAGCCCTCCTCAGTGGCATGGGGGCCTTATGGATGTGGGGTGGGGAAAGCAGGGGGAGTTTGGAGCAATGGAGACACTGGTCTCTCGGGAGAAAAGCTTGATTGCACCGCAGCTCCGGGCTCACCCAGGGGCCTAGAGTACCGCGGAGGCCCTGCCCTGCTCTGGGCTCTTCCAGGTCCCTCCAGGCCCTAGTCAGCTGGGTCTCATAGGCTCTTACTGTCACTGAGTTTCAACCATCTTTCCAGAAAGGGAATTCCTGGAATGTCGTTGCAGATACGTGTTTTTTCATTTATTACAGAAGTAATACACACACGCTGTGAAAAACTTGGGAGGTATAAAGACATTTAAGAACAAAAATTACCCAGACTCCCACAACCAGAAGTAACCCTTGCTAACACCTCAGTGTGAGTTCTTTGAGTCTTCTGCACTTGTGAATGTTTGCACAATTTTTTTTTTTTTTTTTGAGACGGAGTCTCGCTCTGTCACCCAGACTGGAGTGCAGTGGCCGGATCTCGGCTCACTGCAAGCTCCGCCTCCTGAGTTCATGCCATTCTCCTGCCTCAGCCTCCGGAGTAGCTGGGACTACAGGTGCCCGTCACAGTGCCGGGCTAATTTTTTTTTATTTTCAGTAGAGACGGGGTTTCACCGTGTTAGCCAGGATGGTCTTCATCTCCTGACCTCGTGATCCACCTGTCTCGGCCTCCCAAAGTGCTGGGATTACAGGCGTGAGCCACCACGCCCAGCCTCGTGTCTGTATTTAGAAAAATATAATTGGGATCATGCCATATGGATATACATATACAAGTTAATGTACAGGTATAGCTTTGTAGCCTGTTTTCCTACTTACAGCCAGCCAAGGTTGTTAAAAGCTTGAAAATGACTTTAAAAAACATTTTATTTATTTATTTTTTTTTGAGATGCAGTCTCGCTCTGTAGCCCAGGCTGGAGTGCAGTAGCGCGATCTCGGCTCACTGTAAGCTTTGCCTCCCAGGTTCACACCATTCTCCTGCCTCAGTCTCCCAAGTAGCTGGGACTATAGGTGCCTGCCAGCACGCCTGGCTAATTTTTTTGTATTTTTAGTAGAGATGGGGTTTCACCACGTTAGCCAGGATAGTCTTCATCTCCTGACCTCGCGATCCGCCCACCTCGGCCTCCCATAGTGCTGGGATTACAGGTGTGAGCCACTGCGCCTGGCGTAAAAAAATTTTTTTTTTTTTTTTGAGGGTCTTTCTCTGTTTCCCAGGCTGGGTGCTGTGGCGTGATTTCGGCTCACTGTAGCCTTGGCCTCTCAGGCTCAAGCGATCCTCCCTCCCCAGCCTCCCAAGTAGCTGAGGCTACAGGCATGCACCACCATGCCCGCCACGCCTGGCTACTTTTTAATTTTTGGTAGAGACAGGTACTCGTCATGTTGCCCAGCCTGGTCTTGACCTCCTAGACTCAAGAGATCCTCCTGCCTTGGCCTCCCAAAGTGCTGGGATTATAGGCGTGAGTCACTGCAACCTGCCTAAAATGACTTTTTTTTTTGTTTGAGACAGAGTTTTGCTCATCACCCAGCCTAGAGTGCAATGGCGCGATCTCGGCTCGCTGCAAACTCTGCCTCCCAGGTTCAAGCGATTCTCCTGCCTCAGCCTCCTCAGGAGCTAGGATTACAGGCATGTGCCACTATGCCTGGCTAATTTTTGTATTTTTAGTAGAGATAGGGTTTCATCATGTTGGCCAGGCTGGTCTTGTCCTCAAGTGATCTGCCCGCCTCGGCCTCCCAAAGTGTTGGGATTACAGGTGTGAGCCATCATACCCGGCCTAAAATGACTTTTAAAACAGCTAAAGAATATTCTTTACCTGGAGATGCCCTAACTCACCAGGGGTTTATTGTTGAGTATTTACTTTGTTGCTAGAGGGTTTGCAATCACAACCATGTTGATGGCATTCTTGGACTCCTATCTTTGTCTGCAACACTTGAGAATTTCCTGGGGCAGATGTCCCAGGGATAGAATTGTGGGTTAAGAAAGGTATGAACATAAACGCTACAAATTTCGAGTGATAAACCATCTTCAAGAAGGTTTTTAGTTCAGTTTTTTAATCAGTTACCCCAATCTGACCCCCACCTCCCACCCCAGGGGATAGTGGCCCTGCAGAGCTAGGTGACCACAGCACACAGCAATGCTATGTCAACTGGTTGCTTTAAAGACTTGAAACAAAAAAAACCACAGAGACTCTGCCCTGCAGAAAAAGGTCCCAAGAATGAGGCAGCCTCCTTAGGCCCTGGGCTCTCCTACTTTGCAGCCCTACCAGGCCTCAAAGCAGCAGAAAGTCCCTGTTGAGATCTAGCAATGATAGCTTAGCAAACCCAATTGCTACTTGCCTCCCCCATCAGTCAGTCTAGTCCAATGGCTCTCACAAGGAATCCCATACTGGGGTCAGGCAGAGAGGAGAGCTCCAACAAGTGCCTATTTTGGGGGATGCCTGGGTACAAAAAGGTCAGAGGATGGGCCGGGGTGCCTCAGGCCTGGCTCTTTGCCAGGAACATGGCCTGCCCTGTAAACGGTCATACCTGAATGGGATAGCCAGGGGGCCAGATAGGGCCCAGCAGCGGCCCCCAGGCCAGCCCAGCTCCCTGCTCAGCTATGCGAAAAATGCAGAGCCTGGAGAAGCCCTGGATAGAGATAACTGTCTGGAATGTAAACATTTCCCAGGAAAAGGGGAGTAGACAGCAGAATAGGATGTGCAGGAGAAGCTCCCACAGGGGCCCCGCCAGACTTCAGCGAGCCCCAGGTTGCTGGGGCCTCAGGAAGTCAGCAGCCGGAGCTGCCTCCCCGGGACAGAAGCACTTTCCCAGCAGCAGAGGCAGCTCAGGGAACAGCCCCTGGAATTTGGAGGACTCTGGTGGAAACGCCCCACAGGAGCCCGCTAGACTGGCCAGGAGCAGGCCTCACGCCCCGAGCAGTCCAGAACCCAGAACGGTAGCCAGGAGCCCCATGGGGCCACCAAGCACTTGCAGTATGGCTCATGTCACCAACGAGGGTTAAGTCAGTTCTTGGAAACCCTTCAAGTATGTCTGGAACAACTCAGGTTCTAGAAGAACAGGGGCTAGACAAAGGCAGGCCACGCTTCAAATTCCCTTTTCCCACTGTAAATCGTCCAAATTCTAAATACGGATCTAGTACTTCCAAAAAAGATTTAATGTCTGAATTGAGATGTGCTGTAAGTGTAAAATACACCTAGATTTCACAGATTTAGCATTCAAAAAAACAAATTGAAAAAATCTCATTAGTAAGTTAATCACATGTCGAAATATTTTGTATATGTTGGATTAAAAGGAATATATACTTTTTTTTTTTTGAGACAGGGTCGCGCCTGTCACCCAAACTGGAATACAGTGGCACGATCACAGCTCACTGCAACCTATGCCTCCCGGGTTCAAGTGATCCTCCTGCCTCAGCCTCCCGAGGAGCTGGGACTACAGGCGCACACCACCATGCCCAGCTAATTTTTGTATTTTTAATAGAGACGGGGTTTCACCATGTTGGCCAGGCTGGTCTCAAACTCCTGGCCTCAAATGATCCACCGGCCTCAGCCTTCCAGAATGCCAGAGTGCTAGAGTGCTAGGATTACAGGCATGAGCCACCGTGACCAGCTGGAACATAGGATTAAAATTAATTTCACTTGTTTAAATAATTTTATAATGCAGCTTCTAGATTTTTTTGTTTTTAAGACAGAGTCTCCCTCTGTCACCCAATTGGAGTGCAGTGGTGAGATCTCAGCTCACTGCAACCTCCTCCTCCCAGGTTCAAGCGATTCTCCTGCCTAACCCTCCCAAGTAGCTGAGACTACAGGCATGCACCACCACACCCGGCTAATTTTTGTATTTTTAGTAGAGACGGGGTTTCACTATGTTGGCCAGGCTGGTCTCGAACTCCTGACTTTAAGTGATCTGCTCACCTTGACCTCCCAAAGTTCTGGGATTACAAGTGTGAGCCACCACACCAAGCCAGAATATATAATTAAAATTAACTTCACGTATTTAAATAATCTTACAATGCAGCTTCTAGGAAATTTTAAATCACATATGTGGCTCATATTATATTCCTACTGGCCTCGACAATTCCGCGCATCAGCAGAAGGTCAGGCCAGAGGACTGGACTCTCAGGCCACATGTCAAAAGCGGACAGTTCTCTTAACATTTCACCGGAGTCACTACTCCCGCTTTGGCTCTGCATCTTTCCTCTAACTCAGAGGAAGACAAAGGGTTGGGCCCGTCCTTCAACTACTCACATTAATTCCTCATTCCCTTCAAGCCTTAGAGATACTGTGGCCACCCCTCCCTCCCATCCCCACCTTCTTTTCCAAAGGCTGATTTAGAACAGGGTCAGTGAGTCAGACCCACGAAGCTTTGTATCCCTTCCTGCCACATACAAGGCATCTGGTTGTGGGTGAGCTGCTGGGCCTCCCTGAACTTCACTTCTCATCAAATAAACGGGATGGTACTGGTGACTGCACTGGGCAGAGCTGTCCTCGGATTGGAGATGATGGACCTGAGGCCACCTCGAAGCACACAAAGGCCTCTGCTTCCTTCCAAGGCTCCCATTGTTCCATAGTATCACCTTGGGTACTTCTCCAAGTTGGCAACTCTGGAGGGACCAGGGCTCCCCCAAAACCAAAATAAGGGCAGTGACCTTCACAGCGACTCTACC